CAGGGTCTCTTGAATGAATAATTAAGACAGTAGTTCTCAACCTTCCTAATGCTGCAATCCTTTAGTACAGATCCTCATGTTGTGAGTCCCAACCATAAAATGATTTCATTGCTACTTTATAACTGTAATATTCCAACTGTTATGAATTGTAACATAATTATCTGATATGTAGGATATCTGCTGTGTGACCCCTGTGAAAGGGTCATCCAACTCACAAAGGGGTCATGACCCACAGGTTGAGAACCACTCAAGTAAGACAAAAGAAAAAAGCTATTCCCAGAGGGAGCATTAGACGTCTAGAACATTCACATGCAAGAATTCAGAAAGCCAAGGGAGGAGAGGAGTGGCTTTGTGGAAGGCCAGAACATGTCTCGTGGCTCTTAGATCAAGCCCAGGCTATAAAGAACCTAGGCTGTGTAAACATTTAGAAACTCGGGCAGTGTCCTTCATCCACTTCACTGGGCCAGGCAGACAGAGCCATGGTCACTATGGCAGATTCTCTTGGGAGTCAAATTTCATTTCCCACGTACCTGCAACTTCAGTGAGTGAGGCACATCCCCAGCCAGGGCTGGCCCGCCTAGTGCAGCTTCGCTTTCACTGGGAACTCCTGCAGAGCAGTTGGCCTTGCCTGGGACATGCAGACACATTTCCTTTGGCCCCACATGCTTCTTGATTCTCAACAAAGAGGCGAATGCACATCCCAAATCAATTCATCAGCCTCTCAATGACAGCCAACAAAGACATTCTCAACATGGCTTGACTTAGCTCATGCAACCCTTGCTGTATCCACACCCCTCATGGGTTCATCTGTGACCCATCTGTGGATGAAAAAATTAGTAGAGCTCAGTGTGTCACATATGCCCATACGTTCATTTCAGAGCTCAAGCTAGAAGTCATGCTTTCGTCGAAGCTTCATGGGAGTACGAGGAACAGGCTTTGTTGCCTCCCTCACTTCATTAAGGATTCCACGCTGTGGTTCCCTAGAAAAATACCAACTGTTGAGCAATAACAAAACAGCCAAAGGTCCATCCAGATGAGCAAACCAGTGTGATAAGGGAGATCATTAGCATAATTAAAGCACAAAGGCTGCAAAGGACTGGTGGAGAGACTTTACCTTCAGCTGCAAGAACACAGCAGACAACTCAGAGATGTTCTGAGGAGGGCACTCCAGTGGCTGCCAGGGCTTAAAACATTTCAGTTACTTTCAGGGAAGTCAAATCCTAGATCCAGCATATTGGACACACCATTGTTTGCCATACTAAAGGTAACAGTATTGCAGAGGAACGACTAGGATTCCCCAAATTAACTCTTTTAGAAGTAGGTATGGAATAGCCATGCATGCATGTATTAAGGTATTTTTCCCCCTACTTCCTGGTGGCAGTTAGATATGGTAGGATAAAAGGGTAGATTATTGAGTCTACTTTTTTTTTTTTTTTTTTTTTTTTTGGTTTTTCGAGACAGGGTTTCTCTGTGTAGCTTTGCGCCTCTCCTGGAACTCACTCTGTAGCCCAGGCTGGCCTCGAACTCACAGAGATCCACCTGCCTCTGCCTCCCGAGTGCTGGGATTAAAGGTGTGCGTTCGCCACCACAGCCTGGCTATTGAGTCTACTTTTAAAGAGCAACAACTTGTTTGAAACATTTTACATTGCTATGGATTTTAGTTTATTGATACAAATTTAAAGTTAGTTTTGTTATACTGTATATATATATATATTTCTACTCTTGTTTCAATGATTATGTTTATGCAACTCATTTAAAATTGTAATGTATAATTAAGAAATACAGATTAATAATTAGTCATCTATGATAATCAAACTTATAGTCATGTTAGTTAGGTTTTCTAGGTATACATAGATATATTTCAATTAGGTAGGTAGTCTTCAAACACTTTAAAGATGTATAGAATATGGCATTTAAAATGTTTTAAAAACTTAGACTTTTCTGGACATTGAGACATGTCTGCTCCTGGCAGCACCAATCTACTTCAGAGAAAATGATGGGCATCGAAGAAACTCCATATGGAGTTTGCTTTCTTTGTACCCAAAGTTAACCACTGGGTAAAAAGGTGCTTTTGCCTTGCTTGCTTGACAGGATGTTGTATAAACTGGACATACAGGACCCATAGGAAAGTGACCACTAAACTTTGCAAGGTGAGATGGTCCTTCAAGTTCCTGCTTTGCAGAAGAAACTGCCAGACATTCTGCAAGACACAGGAAGAAGTGATTGATGAACTTTGCCAATAGGTGAGACAATCCTTAAAACTTCCTGCTTAACTGAAAGCTATGCCAGAGACTCTAGGTCTATAGGATGAAGATAGATGCCCCAATGTTACAGAGGAACTTTGGATGACTGGCCAGGTAGCCAGCTGTCTCGGTCATTTCTAGAATTATAGAATTTGCTTGCCATGCACTTCCTGTTTACTCAGGTACTATTATATCCTTCTGGGGTCTTTGATGGAGTTGAAGACTACATAGTTATAATTATAGTTTTCCTTAATCATGATAAAAGATAAATTGGATGTGAAACTTTAGACTCACAAATATAGGATAGACTATTTTCTTTAATTTTGCCAAATGCAAATAGACTAGATATTGTAACTGTAATTCTTGCTTGATAACTGTTCTATTGTATGTAATTTTACTATGTTAAGGTTTAAACCTTCCTTTTTGATTAGGTAGAAAAGGGGAAGTGCTGTGGGATGTCTTTCTGTATGCTGTGAATATGTGTTTCTCTGACTGGTTGATATATAAAGCTGTTTGGCCAATGGTGAAGCAGAATAAAGTTAAGCAGTACATTTGAACTGGAGAGAGAGGAGAAGAAAGGAGAGTGGGGCAGACACTGCCAGCTGCCACCAGGAGAAGCAAGATGTGAAAGTACCGGTAAGCCACGAAGCCATGTGGCAATGCATAGATCAATAGAAATGGGCTGAGTTAAGTTGTAAGAGCTAGCTAGCAAAAAGTCTGAGCCATTGGGCCATACAGTTTGTAACTAATATAAGCCTCTGTGTGTTTACTTGGGTTCGAGCGGCTGCAGAACCTGGTGGGACACAGGAAAACTTCTGACTACAGGCAGTTTGTGTCACCAACCCTTGTGTCCACCACACTTAGAGAAAGTGATGGCCTGGTTCAAACTGATGATGAAACCTGCTTTTTCCTCCCAGCTCTGCCACAAAGGGGTCACATGACACCAGACAAGTCACTTATCCTCTCTAAGCTTTATAAATGGTGCGACCACGTGGTCTGTCCACGGTTCCTTTAAGATGCTGCTGTGCGGTTTTCAGTCTTTCCCACCGAATGTTTCCTTCACTCACTGCTCCAGAAGTTGTTGCTGAGGATCACACTCAGAAGTTTAGTGGTCAATTTTATTGACCAAGTGAATGGTGGTCTATATGGGCAGTTTCCCCGTTTTTTTTCCTGCACACTGCCATTTCCATGAGGTGCTACTGCACCCCACCAAACAGCGGTGTTAAAACTGAACTGTGCCCAGTAAATCAGTCCACATTCAGAATTTTGGATGTGTTCAGCATCAAAGGAAGCAGGTGCTTTAAAAAGTGATCAAAGGTACACGACAAAAATATCTGCCAATAACAACCCAACTCTTTCATTTTCCTCATCTGTGACACTACACAGGTACTTGGTAAGTACATCAATTTAAGTCCAATCAGGAGACAGAAACCTTATAGTAACTGAAATAAGGAAAGCTTAATGTGCAAAAAAACTAAGGTATGATAAAATGGCAACTAAGAGGGAACTTTTTGGAATACCATAGAGTTAAAGGGAAGATCTCTCTCCTCTAGGCAGGGGTTCAAGCCAGGTTGGAGGAGGCGTAGTTGAGGTCTATCAAGTGGATGAGAAGTTTATTGATATGTTCAGGCCAGAGCCAGTCAACAGCTCCCAATAAGCAGAGTCATAGCCAGTGTCCAGGTGTGTAGAAAATACTGATTTGGGTGGAAGATGTGGCATGGTCTGGGTGTCTATTAAGCAATATATGAGAAAGGAGGAAGGTTCCAGTTAGTGAGGAGAAGAGTGGGAATGCAGAGGGGCTGGAAGTCCTGCCCAGCATCTGTGTTGGGAGAGCCTGGAAAGGGACTCTCTAGTCTGGGCCAGGCTTGCAAGTTCATGAATGAACTGTGTGCTCTGGACACAGGGATGGGGCAGATTCTCATACCTTTACCAGTCACTGGCAGTGAACTTCTGGAACATACTGGATGGCTCCCGCCACCAGCGTGGTGCCTCCAACACTTTCCACTGAGAAAGTTTACTATAGGGACCACACAATGTAGAAGGGCTTACCGGGCTTTCAGCCTTTAGGCAGAGCAAGTACTTGGAGTCTATTCACATGAGGCAAACATTAATTGGCACTGTATCAAAAGAGCCCTAATGTGAGTATCAGAAATTTGGAATCCTAGTCACTGCCCCTCAGAGGCAGGTGTACTGGTTTTTCCTCCCTTCCCTCCGCCAATCCCCCCACCTCACTCCCCTCCCCCCCCCCCCCCGCCACTCCCCCCTCGCTCCTCACTGCCCCAAATGGACACAGGAGTCAGTAGGAAGTGCCTCTTCTCCCAGTGGTCAGCCTCTGCCTGAGACCCTGAGGAAACGCTGTTAGTGCCACTGTCCTCCTCAAGCAGGACAGAGTCCTGGCAGTACCGTGCTTGGTGGATTATCAAACAGTGGATTAGGTAGCTGCTATCAATGAATAAGTAACTAAGCAAACAGAGTTTCCTGGCAGAGGCTTTGTCCAGTATCTCATTTGAATACAATAATCATGATGCCACCAAAAATGTCACTTTTCCCCTTAAAAACATCTCAAACACACACACACACACACACACACACACACACACACACACACACACACACACACACACACACGTGCACACACACCCTTTGCCATTTCACTTTCCTTTCTTTACTATTTTTTAATGAATGAAGGATCTCTGGTTTATGTGTAGCGCACTAGCCAATGTATTCCTTCATTGACCACACTCTCACAGCACAAACCTCAAAGAATGCACCAGGGTTCTGTCTGTGCATCCTGGGCACTGTCGTCTGAGAACTGAAGAGCATCTCTCTGCCAGAAGGGTTAGCTCTTGGTGGTCTTCAGCTCCCATCCTGCCTGTCTTGGGATTGCTCATGATTCATGGAGGAAGGACGCTGGGAACAAGCTGTGGCTGAAGGGGGCAGAATGCTGAGGACATGTTGATTGGTCTAGGGGGAGGATCCTCCTGCCATATGGCTCTCCTCCCCTTCAGAGGCAGCCCTGCAGAAGCAGAAAGAGGCAAGCAAGTTTAATTAGTCTGAAACATGTCCTAGGACACTTTGGAACCCCATGCAGGGAACTGAAATGCTGCATGGTCTTTAAAGCTCAATACCACTAATGTGATTAACGTTTCCCTTTTCCCTGCCTGTAACACATATTGTGGGTGAAGTTCAGCCAACAAGCACTTACAGAACCAGTTAACTGTTTGAGGTAGCAGCCCGCTGGCATCGCAGTAACGTTTTCGTCTGCTTTTGATACACACTGGGATGGTGAAATACTAGAGAGTGAATCACACATGGAAGAATCTTTCAACTCATTCATCCCCCCTGCCTGAGGCAAATCACACAGTTTTCATATGATTCGCATCAGTTCCACTTGCAGATGACCAAGTGCATTTGGAAAAGGAGGCATACATGTGGCCCTGGAGTGGCTTGGACATCTGTTGTTGGAGCACACCACGGTAACTTGATCTGTCAGTTACCATCACATTCCTTTCCCTTGGTTTCCTACTTTCCCTGGTGGCATGCTACACGTCAGTCTAGAAAGAGGCTGAAATGCTTTCTGTTCGTCCACTCCACAAGTGAAGCCAAAGGCTACAAGACAGAGTCCTGGCTACCAGGGGTCTACCCCATACCTCCTTGGTTTCCTAGGAGCTGGAAGACTGCAATTCAAGCTGTCTCAGAAGTAAGTGTAGAGAAGGGTAGGCTTCCCATCCTGTGACAAACTGAGAGTCACACCCGTCACCAATGTGTTGTGTGGGAGGTGTGGGTAACCCATCAATCCCTTCGGTTTTTTTTCTTGGTGCTGGGAATGGATCCCCGGGCCTCACATATACTAGGCAAACACTCCACGGAGCTATATTCCCAACTCTCAATGGGTCTTTGAAGCTGACGCAGCCATATCTCTCCTCTGTGCTCAGAGAGGTGGACATTTAGCTTATCTGGAGTGCAATGTTAGATGTCGTTCACTAGTGCTCCTCAGAGTGAGCTCAACTCATTGATTTCAAATCCTCTTTCTCTTGCTCTATACCCACTTGGGAACTAAAAGGTCTGAATGACGCCTTTGATATTTTTGTCTACAGCTCTCCACAGATGTTTACAACAGGAGGTCAGGCAGATCTTCGAAGAGCTATAAAGGACAGAGATGAATTTTTATTGCACTAATGGCATTGGCTTGAGAGCTGCTAAACATGCAAATCTTGTTCTGTCCATCACTCTTCAGCTCTTCTCCCAAGGGAGCTGCATACAGAGGGACAGACACTTGATCATCTTTCAGAACTTAGTAATGGCAGGGTTGAGCATCTGGTTCACCCATAATGCCTAGTTAAGGACTTCTTCCCCATTCATCACTCCCCAGCTTCACCTCCAAGTTTAGACAGTCTCTCTCTAGTCCCTGCCTGCTCTATGGCATAAACCCACAGCAATGGTGCTTTCCTGCGGCACAGAAAGATGGAGAGACCCTGAAGGGCCCCTAATCATTGGCAATTCTAACTCATGGATCAGAAGCAGTGAGTGAGAGAAGCATCATTCACAGTCTTTACAGCTACTCTGCCCATCTGTAAATATGGGCGACCTGTACTTTATACTTGTTATTAGACACGCCATTCTTCCTCAAGGGATGTGAACGGCTAGAAAGAGGACCACAGGGAAGTGGGTAGAGGTAGAATATTTCCACTTCTAGACAACATTTATCCTTTCCTTGCAATTGTTCAAGTAGATACCCTGTACAGAGAAGTTCATGAAGTAGAGGTGGCTTCCTTTAGTAAAACCTAAACAAGGTCAATTTTAGAAAACCCATGAAATGCACAATTATTTAATTATAGGAATTTTTCCCATCTCAAAAAAAAAATCCTTTTCTATGGGAAGAAAATCTGATTTGTCACAGCCCTATTTTGCAATCAGCTTGTTTGTAGCCCCCAAAACTCTACAGAGACCGCGGATCTAAAATACAAGCAGTGACTAAACTGTTTTGAGATTTTCTTCACGACACATTAAACTGAAAGTGTGAACTAAGAAAATAGATACAAAAGTAGAGCGGCCTTTGTGGGATAGCAGTACCCCAAGAAAACGACTCAGGGCGGTCAGTGCAGAAGAGTGGTCCCCAGGAGCTGGTTCAGAGCCGAGGAGCATGTGTGTGCAAATCCTCAGGGAGCCTCTGAAGAAGCTCGCAGATGGTGGTCACACTCCACTGCATCATTGGCTCCGAGCACCCGCCAACACATCGGAACCCACCAAGCAGCGCTTCACAAGATCGCTGACCCAAACCTAGGAGGGGGCTAACAGCATGTTCAGCAAAGGTGGCCACCCTCAGAACCCGCGGGCCTCCAATGTGAGCACATTCTGCAGAGGGCAACTCACAAGTCCTCAAGGCCGATGCATCTGGTGACATTGTTTTTGCTGCTCTATTACCACACAAAGGATAGAACAGACAGTAAAAATTACTACAACGGGTACAGAAGGACCTAGACTTTAAGGCTCACAGGGCCTTCTGCATGAGGTAGCAAAGCTTTGTAGATGGTCAGTCTATCAGGAAGAAACAGATCCCTCTACAGGATACCACTCCGAAGGGCACACACAGTTTTGGTTGCATAGGTGGAATGCTTACCCCAAATATTGAATAGCCTTGTGCCTGGCTTCCCACTTTTCCTGCGTTCTGTGTTATCTACAATTAAAAAAAAAAATCTCTGATCAAGTAGTACATTTGTGATAACCTTGAACAATCCGAGCCCCTTGAGATCCATTTTTCAAACTTTGTCATTGAATTGCCTCCAATCGGTGGGTCAAGTCTCCTTGTAGGGAGTGTACACAGGATGTGTCTGTTCCATGTCTTTAATCAAAATGCACTTTTCAGCAGGAAATTAAAGTCTTCTGGGCAATGAGCTCACAAACTCTATCCATGCTGAACATACCTCTCAATAGAAGAATGTTGTTGATGTCTCTCTAGAGCACTTCATTTGACTCTGTCTTATAAATAACCTCAGAATTCGGTAGGAATGTAATTGTTTTTAGGGCTTGCAGCATCAGAACCCAGAAGCATGTCTAGGTCAACTTCATGACTGTCATAAATCTCTTCCAAGCAATGGGAGAACAAGTGTTAGCCTTCTGGGTGGCAGAAATCTGGGTTTCAGCTGGTCATTAAGGTTTTACTCTCCATATGTACATGATGAATGAAGGGATCAGTGACTTTAAGAGAGCCTCCCCAGGAGGGGCTGTTCCCTCATGGAACTGCAGATGTACATGGCTCTCAGAGTCTGAAAACTACTCTTGTACTACTTGAGGCCTACAATGATTTGGGTTGTTTAAAAAAATTAGATGGTATTGTGCAAATAAGGAGAGGCAGAGGGAGAAATACTGTTTCTGCGCTCCACTAACTCATTCAGCCTACATTTCTCCAGTATCATGATGTTTGCAGACCTACTTACATCAGCATGCCATAGACAGGCTGGACTGCAGTGTGCAACACATGGTCTGGGATTCGTGAGTCACTCTTCCTCTGGCCATTTGGAAAATTACTGTGTTTCTCTGCCAAAGCATACCACACTCCTGTATGGTGTGTGTGTGTGTGTGTGTGTGTGTGTGTGTGTGTGTGTGTGTGTGTGTGTGTGTGAAGTTGGAGCATCCGGTACGGAAGTGTTAGGGTATCTTTTTTCAAGAGCCTTTTGTCTCGAGGAGGCCTGGCTGAACCTGCAGAGAGAGTCTGCATTGTGGGCTAGAAAGATAGCATAAAAGAAAAGTAGGAATTTAGGAGGCACGAGAAACGAGCTTGAGAAATCAAGGAAGCCATGCCTCATGGTAAATCCATATTTATGATAGAGGAGAAAAACTTCCTTACTGACTTTGCCTTAAATGAATCTGGTAAGATGAACTGTGCTCTCTGAAATTCAATTTCAAAAATAAATGCATATGTAATCTGTGTTTGTGAAAAAGTAAAAAAAAAATCAAAACACCAGTAAAAATAAATGCAATGATTGAATTTACTGTCTACTGCTTTCCTTCATGGATTTCTTTGAAGAAAAAGATACTTTAAGAAATTGAATCCTTGGCCTGGTGGTAGTGGTGCACACCTTTGATCCCCTTGGGAGGCAGAGGCAGGCAGATCTCTGAGTTCGAGGCCAGCCTGGTCTACAAAACAAGTTCCAGGACAGGCAGGGCTTCATAGAGAAACCATCTCAAAAAACAGAAAATAAAACAAAAAAGAAAAGTAAAAAAGAAATCAGATCCTTTAAGAAATGACTCTCAGATTCTCATAAGCCACTGAAATGACTGAAGTCTGGTCCTGCTAAGGGAAAGGTATCATACACTTTGTATTTTTCCTGTCTCGAAGACTAACCCACCATGACTATCTTCCGTATGGGAGTATAGACTGGACCCCCTACACGTGCATTTCCTTATATCTATGGTCTATTTCTTTTGAAATAGAAACTAGAAACGGTCCATTTTAAATAAGACAAAGCAAGCTAGCAACCACAGTCACCTGGATTTGGACTGTAAAGGTCGACACCTCATCCTCCAGAGACACAACAGTCTTAGGAGATTTCAAGGTTGCAGAAGAAGGGGAACAATGATGAAAATCCCTTCAGTTTTTTCAAAATTATAAATGCCATTAAGCTTTACTATAAAATTCAAATTAAAGTGTTTCTAATTTTAGTGTTAAATGAGGTTGGTCTATTCAATAGACTATTTGCATAACTTTTAACCAAAAAAAAAAAAATCAAAGTTTTAAGGAAGCAAAATTGACTGATCTGTAACTTAAAATTATAAACTCCCGACTAGCTGACTAGATTCTTACTAATGAGTCTGAACAAGTCAAAAGTGCCCCACATGTCCCTTTTTAGCAGTTGAAAGGAGTTACAGGAAGACTTCCGGGGCAAATTCACAATGCCCACTCAGGTTTGCTCAAATTCCAGCCACACTTGGAGAGGAGGAAGACTATACGGTCATAGGAACTCCAAGAGTTGATGCTGAAGTTGTGGACTGCTACCAGGTTTTGGTTTTCTCCTTTAGGTGTTCTATTCTCTTTGACATTTATACAGTTTGCAGTATCTGCTGTTAAATGTTTGTCACTCTAAAATATATTTTAAATGACTGCCTAATTAAAAAGATGTTATCAAATTAGTTAAGCCATAGGCTAAATTACAGTATACAGGTCTCACTTGACCCAAATATAGTTGCTCAAGCATGTTTTCTTATATAGCCATCTGCTGTGGGCACGTAGGCAGAAGTGAGCCACGGGAAGAGGTTGGGACCTGGGTTTCCTCCGCCTTACTGCTCCTTACCCCTGAAATATTACAATCCTTGCCTGCTCAAAGCTGACTTTCACAATTCACCGGTGAGACTTAGTGTTATGGTTTGAAGCAGCTGCAAAGCAGCATAGAAGATAGCTTCCTGTTGGATAACAATGTAAGTGACGCTAAGGAAACACTCACCGTACCCATCTTACAACTTATGACTTCTATGAATGTCCCAGTTTAGGAGGCAGAATATAACGCAGGCATCTGCACACTTTTTCCTCCTACAGAGGACCATGTGTAGGCTTTGCACATTTTATGGGGGGGGGGTCTCTGTTATAACTACTCAACTTCACTGTCTGTCCAAAAGTGTAGACATACACCATGCATGAATGGTATAGCTGTTGTCTTAGCTCTCCGTTGTATCATAACAAATTACCATGTGTTAGAAGTTTAAAACAACACATTTTTATCACAATTACCTGGGTCATGAGTCCAAGCAGAGTTTAGCTGATCTGTTTAGAATCTCATAAAGCTCTATCAAGGTATCAGCTACACTGTGTAACCTACTTCAAGGCTCTTTGAGAGCTCTGCAGAATTTCTTTCTGGCTGGAGGGCGGTGAGCCTCAACTCTTGCTGACTGCGTTCTCAGTCACCTCTTGAGCTCACCCATGGTCCCTCACCATACGCCCCCAACATGCACTCCAACAGATCCAGTTGTCTCTAGAGTGAGCTGGGAAGTTAGAGTACTAATGGAATTCTACTGAGAAAGACATGGTAAGCAGAGCCATGTACTGGCCCCTGGTATAACGAACAACGTAGGGAAGACATTATATAAGGCCAAAAGTAAGTATCATGTGCACTGTGTTTGCGTGGTCAAGGGCACCCTCAGACCCTGGCCCTTGCCTTGTACCATGTTCCCTGCACACACTAGGCGAGCTTCGCTGAGTTTCCAGATGTGTTCCTGTCTCTGTATCCCATCTCCCTCATACGAACACTGAGAGCACAGATGCTCGAATTCTATGCCTTGCTTTTATGTGTGTCCTGGAGACCTGAACTCAGGTTATCAGCCCTGAGCAACAGTGCATTTACCCCACTGAGCCATCTCCCCAGCCTGAGAGAAAGATTTCTTAAAGCCAGAAGGACCATGTGGAAAGGTACTTGTAAAACAAACAAACAAAAACATGTTTCTTATTCTGGTGCTATCACGTACATACCACAATAGTTGGATAATAGAAAATTAAAAAAGGATTAGCTTAGCATTATGGCAGAAAAGATGGAGTTACTGTTAGAACTTCAAACAAACTCCAAGAGAAAGACTTTCATAAAGCTGTTAGTAATTTCGACATGAATTCAAGCTCACCTGGAACCCTTTCAACAGAAAGTCTATTTTCTCAAGGGTTATAAAAATACACTAACACTTTCATGTGATTGCAGGAATCAGAGTTAGAGAAAATGTTTAACACAATTATCTCACTTAATCCTCAAAACATTGCTATTGTTTGGATTATTATTCCTATTAAGAAGCTAAGAGAAATGATCTTTAGCAAATTGCAATTTGTTTAATATATGCACAGGAAACATGAATTAGAATCTGGCTGAGGGGCCAGGTCATTACATTTTGTTTGATGTATAATGGGACCCTTTGAAGGATTTTAACAAGGAAATGGTATAATTAGTAGGATTACTGTTTAATTCTGTTTAATTAGCCCAGAATGAAGCCTGGGCTGAAGGCAAGCTGGGGTGGATGCAAAGATGGAGGTGGCTTGGACATGTGAGAGACCTGGAAATACATTTGTAATATATTTAGGTCATAGAAATGGCAGCACTTGGTGAGGGACCAACACCTGTCTAGTTCACAAACTGGAGCAGCTCCCTAGTCCACTGTCCAGTGGACTCCAGCCACATGATCTGTTGGCCCTTGAAATACACTAGTAAGTCTCTTTTAACCTCTAGGGTTTTTGTTGCATGAAGCAGTCTGTCTGCAATGCTTTTCTCTCTAATTCTACTCTGTCATTCTATCTTATCCAACAGAACTCGTCTCAAGTTTCACTCTCCAAGGAATCCCTCCTGAAACCCACCGACAGCCTCAGGTTTGGTTCCCTACTGAAGTTCTCCTTAATAGACTCCAATTATATTTCTCTCCGCCTGCCGACTGACTGCATGCTTTTTCAAGTGGGCAGGGACTGTTTGTTTTGCTCATCAGGTCAACACGGTGGCTATGTCTGCAGAGTTCTTGGCAGCATGTTATTCAGCGAATATGCATTAAGAAAATAAGTATCTGCCTTCAAGGCCCTTATACTTACTGAGCTGCATACATTTGCTGATCTTAAAAAAAAAAACAAACGTTTTTTTCTTCACTCCTGGATTTACTAACACAACATATTTCTACTAGGAAGCAGCGTTTCCTTCTTCAGTCTCTTGACAGATACGAACTATAATTCCCAGTGGAGAAGAATGTTAAGGGTAGGGTGCACGGTGGGAAGAACAAGCTGATAGAAAGGCTTGGGGTGTGTGAATTCTTATTTATTGGGAGAGGGAGCAGAAACACTCAACTGTTTGGGAAAACAATCTAACAATATATATCACAAGTCTTGAAATAAATATGAATATGTTTAACGTATTTTTGTCTCCCCAAGTTGCTTTGGTCGTGGTGTTTTGCCACAGTGGCAGTAACCCTAAGATGTCATCTAAGGAAAAAGAAAGTAAGAGGGGCCTGCAGGCCACAGAAAGGAGCACGCCACGCTAGATGTAACCCGCACTGGGCTGTACCGCAACGCAAGCGGGACTTTAAAACCCTGAGGACCCATCAGCTGTGGATAACAGCTGTAACATTTGCTTTCTGCAACAACCCCAACTTCCAATTCTTCTAAGCAACAGCATTCTTGCATAAACAAGTACCGGGATCTGTGGTAAACAGTGCACACTGGCTGCAGAGAGGTGAACCCTGTATTATCCAGAACCCTCACGTGAGAAATGTGCTCAACTGTAATTGTTTGGTTTGCTTAACTGCAAGACATTCTGAAATCGCGTTCCTTCCTGTGAAGAGGGCTATGTCCGAGACTTCCCCTCCTTCCTCTGGAAACAAGGTAAGACACTTCATTGATAAAAATTTCAAATGATTTTTTTTTCAGGAAATCATATATTTTTACATAACCATAGCTTAAAATATGTTATAAAATAAAAATACTGTACACTTGAGTTTAATTCTAAAGTATAAAATTTTTATTGACTGATACCAATGTACGTATCCACAGAAGGAGAACGCAAAAACTTCTGATTTAAAATGTCAGTTCCCATGTAGTCCTCATTACAGGTGTTTTCATTCATGATCTGAATCTGTCTCCACACTGTGAAGCGCACTGTTATTAATTTGTAGAAATATATATAAACCTAGATGATTAGTAAATCATTAAAGTCAGAAGAATTCAATCAGGTAGGGCAAGAGGATCACATTGGAATTAACTCATAACAGTACTGGCGCCATTTTAGATTTCCTTCCCGTATCATACCTCAAGCAAGAATGGAGTTCTAAGACAAACGCTGAGACACTGGATGGCCTGGGGCTGCTCCCCTAATTAAGTAATGTAATTATAAGCTTCCATATTCTGCCAGGGCACACGTCACACCGGCCGCCTACAGACCTTCAGTGATCCGTGAAAGCAAGAGCGCGGCAAAGTGAGGACGCAGCAGCGCCACAGAGAAAGAATATGGCGTTCTCTGCTGGTCTCCTTCAGGGGCTTTCTCAACCATTGGTCTCGGCTCACGTGAGGAGAGACGGTATATTAGGAACCCCAGTGATCTTATTATGATTTCCCTTCACTGGTATTTGTTTAAGAAGTGATAAGTCATATTATCTAAGAATAAAGTCACCGAGTCCTCCTGAAAATATACGTTCGTTTCTCTTCAAGGCAAAAGGATGAGGTGGCAGGAATGTGATGGCGAAGCCAGTCTTCGAGAACATCATGTGAGGGAATCCAGCTGTGCTTGGATGGTCTCAAGCTGTTATAAAGACAAAAATGAAGAGAGCACGGTAGTGATGGGAGCGAACGGTAGCGAGTGTTTGGAAACATGCGAACCCACGGGAGCAAGGGCACAGGAACCCACACTGCACCCACACACGGGCGGATGGCAACGCTCGGGCTGCTTTTCTCCACCTAAAGATGTCAGGGTTTAGGCCTGTTCTTTCACTTTTTACATTATGAAGGAGGAAGGCTTCTAAGTATTACTATCTGAAGTGCACTCAGCTATTTCTTAGTAAATTACCACCACACGATAAGGCTTTAAAGTTTGGTAGTTAACAAAATGCATTTTCCTGGGGTACGAAGTCAGTATTTGGAAGGAAAAATGAAATATAAATGAGAGATAAATCACAAAGCCTGGCAGCTTCTTTCTACCCATGGGCCCATCCACTGACGTAC